GAAGTCAGTTCGTTATAATAGATTTACTACATTAAAAATAGGTTGTTCATTTTATATGTTCGTTTCATTTGCCCCCCTCCCCACCTCTCCGAAAGTCCTGGAAAGTGATGTTAACCGAAAAATTAACTTCAAACGGCCTTATCGCAAAATAAATAAATACTGAGATAAGTTAAATAAATCAATAATTATATATATTATATACCGAGTATATACCGAATTTCCAGCCAGTAGACTTCCAAACAGCATAAAATTCTTTCAAAATTTGTTAATTTTTAGTCGCACCTAATTTCTAATTACCAGACTTCTCATCCACTTCGACATCTAACCAAGCTGTCCGAACTATAATTTTATGATCATTAATCAATTTAACCAACTCATTGACTTGTTGTTTAGGTGTCTTACAAGTCGACCTTCCAGTGCATGGAAACATATATACGTCAATATCGGTATACCCAGCTTTTTTAGCATTTTCGTAACTTTTTAAGAAATTAGAATCGATTGCACCTCCAGGATTGTTACCATAGGCTTCAAAGTAACCACGAATAGCTGCACGACTATAACCTAAATTTTTAGCACAATTGAAAGCAGTTACTGATGTCAATGCAGAAACATCTACTTGAAGAGTAGAAAATGCCTGATTAATTATTGAAATGACCACGATAAAAGTGGACAACGCAGTGAATAAAAATCTCATTCTTATTATTTTGTTAATAGGTATTACTGATTATTTGATAATCAAGATTGAAAAAAATATAGAAATATTTTTTGTATTGATAAAATTACGTGAATGGAACGTATGGATAGGGATGGTAAAAATCATGATTTAAATTGATTTTCTGTCTATATTATTTAATTCTGGATTTGGATAAGATTCGAATGTGATCTGAAATTTTGATCTAGGTGGGAAAATATTTGTTATGTGGTAACCGAAAATGACGACGTTTTGTTATAGATATTTTAAGTCAGGAGGCCGATATCATAATCGGAAAATTAATTACAATAATATAATATGATGTGATGATTTATTCTGGGTTTAAAATGTAAACAGAAAATGTCCAAAAATGTGAAATGATATTCACCGACTATGAAAGCTTTGCTGACCTGTTACTCAGAGCTAAATGAATTATTAAAATCTGGAACAGTGAAAACATATATATTTGATCGTGGCAGTTTGCTCTATTCTGAGGGTCTTAAATTTTTGATTTATATTACGAGCTTAAATGTCTTTACCATTCTTAACTGGGTATGGATAATGTTAATAACATGCAAAAGTGAACCATATACCGTATTGTTACTATTGTTTGAGCGATGGTAATTTAAGGTGCGATTAGCTCCAATAGTAAACTTAGAGGGCTTATAAGTATCGTTCGTCGAGACTTGGGCACGTGAAATACGGTCACGATTTGCGTAAATCAGGATCGGGTCCTAACTAAATGAGTCCCGATTTGGGTTATGCACGTAATTTAAGTATAACTTAAAGGGTAATTTAAGGTTATTTTGATAATTAGGACACAATGGGACATGTATATAATAAGGGTGAGTCTAAGATAATAAGATCGCCTATGGGTAACAACTAGAGCTGCAGGTAAAACTAATCTTCAATGGTGCACCAGGTGAAACTGGTGCACCGATGGTGAAACTAGAGTTATAGATGAAACTAATCTTCAACTGTACACCAATTTCCTGGTGAATTTAATTAGACGAGACCTATAGTTGTTAGACGAAACCTCGAGGTTTCGCGCTGACGAAAGTCGAAACCTAGTTTCGACTTTCGTCAATTAAATCTCAAATGACGAAATGTTGAAACTGTCAAAAGGTGTCGAAACTGACTAAAGGTGTTGACACTGGCGAAAGGTGCCGATACTGGTGAAAGGTGACAAAAGGTAAAGAAACTGACGAAACTACGAAGGTGACAGAAACTAATAGAAGATGATGAAGCAGATAAATGTTATTGGAGATAATAATAAATTATGAAAACATAAATTTATAATAATTACTAAAATTTTATTATATAATAATAAACAAGTGTAAGGAAGCCTTGGCTTTCTACATTTTATGTTCATAAATGGCTATATAATTTATACTTAGATTAGTTTTAATAAAAAATTAATAAGCAACTTAATAAAAAGGGATTTATCAATTAAGTAATAGCACAAATAAAAATTAATAATAAACAGATTATTTTACATATTTTAGTGTTTTGATTAAAAAATAATCATTGTATATTGACTTGAATAAAAGACAAATTAGTGTAGATTATAGTTGTTAGACGAAACTTTGAGGTTTCGTGCTAATGAAACACAAAACCTAGTTTCGTCTTTCGTCAATTAAAATTTTAAATGACGAAGTGACAACTATAAATAGTGACAAAATTAATAAAAGACGAATATACATATAAATGTTAAAAATCATTGAAAGATTATGTGTAAACAAAAACAGAAATTTATAAAAATTACAAAAAATTTTATTGTATAATAGGCACTTGAATTATCAGTTTTAATGAAAAATTGCTTTGTGCTTATTTGTGATATTACAAATTTGTTCTGTTAGTATGTTTTAATTCATTATTTATGTTATTTCATGAGTACTGTACTATGGTTTTTTGACAAGGCTATTTCAACTAGTCTATAACAACCCTAGCATTGTCCAGAAAAATGAACAGGTTTACTTTTGCTGGCATACATGTAATTTCAGATAATTATTTCTGAATATTATTAATGTTAATTCAAAGAAAATAACATTTGTTTTTTTTGAGTGTAAGATTTCGTCATTTTAAGTTTAAGGTTTCATCTTTTGTCAAAAGAATTTGGGGTTTCGACTTTCATCAGAGGTTTCATCTTTTGGGGGTTTAGATTTTGTCTTTCATCATAATGCGAAAAAGGTTTTGTTTAACAACTATAGTGCAGATAATAAATTAATAAGAGATGCATACATTGTTTTCAGATCTTTGATTATAATTATTGCTATACTTGCTAGTTAAATTAATCTAAATAAAAAACTTAATAAAAAGAGATCTATATTACTTGATAGGCATCACATTTCATAACATTATTTATTGACAGGTTCATTTTACCGACAGTTTATTTTACTGAAGCTTTTTTACTAACAAGACTTTTTGAAATGAGCTTTCAGTGAAATAGACTGTCAGAAAATGAGCTTGTTAGTGGTGAAATGTAATAAAAAGTGGCCTATCGGGAAGTTAATAAGAAACATGAATTATATAATATGTTATTAGATATCAATTTTCTAAAAATTTACAGAGCTGCAAAAACATTCTTACTGCTTTATATTTTAAATTATATGTACAAATTAAAATATAAAAATTTAAAATATTTTAATATTGAATAAAAAAAAAAAAATTATAAATTAAAAAAAAAAGAAAATACTGTACCAGAATATTTATATAATTTAATTTTCTATCACTATATTTATATTTATTAAATATCAAGAGGTGTTAATGGCTTATTTATCCATTTATAATTTCTGTTTTTAAAAACTAAATATACAAGCCACGTCAAGCCAATAAACAACTTCAACATTAAATATAAATAAAAAGAAAGCCTCAATAGATTTTCATTAATTTTTTTTAGCGGGAGCACCAGAATTTATTAAGAGTTTTGGTAATAACAGATTTTTTTAGTAATTTTTATTTTTATTTTTTTATTATTTTTTTTTTTTTTAGCAAGTGTATTAGGGTTTTGTCAAGTTAAGTTTGGGGGTTTGACTTTTGTCAGAAGAATTCGAGGTTTCAACTTTCGACAAAGGTTTTGTCATTTAGGGCTCAGGTTTCGACTTTCGTCATCAAGCAAAAATGGTTTCGTCTAACAACTATAGTTTCACTTGCAACTCTAGTAACAATGGTAAAATGTCAAGGCAATAGGTTAGAGATTAGGTAACAATTAGAAGTAATTTTAGGGTAATAATAATATGAATGATAAGAAAAATAAATAAACCGGTTTAACAATAATTGTATTTAATCAAGTGAGAATTCAATTCTTATTTCTGCTTCATTAAAGACATTGAAGTCTGAGAAAACTTTATTAACGCAAAAACTCAGGTCTTAAATACATTTTTAATTTGTATTAACTACTGCGCTAGTTTCTTCGCTATTCTATGCGTGCGCAAGGCTTTTACGTAGCCAGCGACAGTAATGTCTCGTAAAAGCCCCACCATACCCTACATATTTCCCACAAGACATTGTTATCACGTCTCTCGCGTATCAACAATGAAGAGACAGTAAAGTCTTGTTTACATAAACATCCATGACTAATAATTACAAGTTTCCTTCTATATCGTCCAATGTCTATCATATGATACCGAAAATAAATATAATAATAAAAAATATGATAATAAAAAAAAATCTATCTAAGCCTGGACAACATGTCACAAGAAACCGTGACAGTATATTACTGTAATTCATAATGAAATCACGAAAATTCCATTACAAAACTAACTCACCTTGACCACATACAATTTCTCATTAGAATAGCGAATTCTTTAACAAGATCTTTTACAGCAACTCATGTAAAATTATGATTATTTCAATGCAAACTAATTTACCACATCTTATGATTACTGGAGTGGCAAGTAAATTTTGTAACATAACTTTTTTACAGCAACTCATGATAGTAATTGTGATACAAACTAACTCGACTTTAGCTACAAACCATTGTCACTGGAATAGCAAGTAAGTTTACTTTAGTTCATGATAGAAGTCACGATAATTCGATGCAAACTAACTTGACCTTAAATGCATACCATGCTGACTAGAATAGTAATTTCTGTAACAGAAAGGATATTTTAAAGCAGCTCTATTAGAAATTACAATAATTCCAATACAAAATTAGCTCACTACATTTTTGATTATCGGAATGGCGAGTGAGTTTATAATAAAATTTCTTGCAGCAACTCATAAGGGAAATTACAATAATAATTCTAATATAATTCAACCTTAACTACGAATTAATACCAAGTAAGTTTTACTGTAGCTTATGATAGAAGTTGGAGTCACGATAATTCCGATGACACATGCTTCGATTGCCCGAAGCAAATTCTGTAATGAATTTTTTAAAGTAACGAACTATTTTCAGAAAAATTCCCGTGACGAAGGCACGGGAAAAAGCTAGTATTTAATTAAACACCGATCTTTGGAAGCGATTTTTTTAAAACCATTGTCATCGCAATTTAAAAAATATATTAAATGCATTACGTAATAAAAGCTTTAAATTGATTTAAATAAAAATCAGTGATTTATAACATAGAATTTATAATTTAACTTCATTTAAAAACTCTGTTGTAAAACATTAAATACATTTAAATCAATGTTTCTTTTTTCTTTTTTTTTTTATCTAACGTACAGGAAAATGTCCGAAACAAAGCGTATGTTCTACACGAGGAACAAAACTCTTGCACATGATTGGTTGGCGTGATAATAACAAAGTAAAATTAAATTCACGTTACTTAAGTACTCCCTAGCTAACTAAAAAAAGCTAGTAAATTTCTTTATACAGATATTTTATAAATCCGGATAATTTTCCAAAACCAAATTAGTATGTATTGGTATGTACATATGGCTTATCTTTAATAAGTTATCGAAAATAAATGCTATTATTTCTAAAAAAGTAAAAAAAAAGAATGCAAATTACAAAAAAAGAGAAAAAGAAATAATTACCCCAATTACCAAATATATTTATA